AATAATAATCTTTTAAGGGTGCTTCTTAATTTATGACGCCGGGGTTTTAGAAAATTGCCATTTTTAGAAAAAATAGTCACCAAGAAGTAGATTAAATTCCAAATAATCAGAATATGGCACAACGCATAATTTTCTCGTAAAAAAATAATACATAATTAGGGGTGCGTTTTAACCTAGGACGCCGGGGTTTTAGAAAACTGAAATTTTTAGGGAATGTAGTCGTGAGGTACCTGATTAACTATCACTTAGTCAGAATGTGGCACAAAGCGCCGTTTCCCCGTAAAAAAATAATAATCTTTTAGGGGTACTTCTTAATCTATGACGCCGAGGTTTTAGAAAATTGCCATTTTTAGAAAAATTAGTCACCAAGAAGTAGATTAAATTCCAAATAACCAGAATATGGCACAACGCATAATTTTCTCGTAAAAAAATAATACATATTTAGGGGTGCGTTTTAACCTAGGACGCCGGGGTTTTAGAAAACTGGAATTTTTAGGGAATGTAGTCGTGAGGTACCTGATTAACTCCCACTTAGTCAGAATGTGGCACAAAGCGCCGTTTCCCCGTAAAAAAATAATAATCTTTTAGGGGTGCTTCTTAATCTATGACGCCGGGGTTTTAGAAAATTGCCATTTTTAGAAAAAATTAGTCACCAAGAAGTAGATTAAATTCCAAATAACCAGAATATGACACAACGCATAATTTTCTCGTAAAAAAATAATACATAATTAGGGGTGCGTTTTAACCTAGGACGCCGGGGTTTTAGAAAACTGATATTTTTAGGGAATGTAGTCGTGAGGTACCTGATTAACTCACACTTAGTCAGAATGTGGCACAAAGCGCCGTTTCTTTGTAAAAAAATAATAATCTTTTAGGGGTGCTTTTCATACTATGACGCCGGGGTTTTAGAAAACCGCCATTTTTAGAAAAATTAGTTCTCAAGTAGAAGATTAAATCCCAAATAACCAGAATATGGCACAACGCCTAATTTTCTCGTAAAAAAATAATATAAATTTAGGGGTGCGTTTTAACCTAGGACGCCGGGGTTTTAGGAAACTGAAATTTTTAGGGAATGTAGTCGTGAGGTACCTGATTAACTCCCACTTAGTCAGAATGTGGCACAAAACGTCGTTTCCTTGTAAAAAAATATTAATCTTTTAGGGGTGCTTCTTAATCTATGACGCCGGGGTTTTAGAAAATTGCCATTTTTAGAAAAAATTAGTCACCAAGAAGTAGATTAAATTCCAAATAACCAGAATATGACACAACGCATAATTTTCTCGTAAAAAAATAATACATAATTAGGGGTGCGTTTTAACCTAGGACGCCGGGGTTTTAGAAAACTGATATTTTTAGGGAATGTAGTCGTGAGGTACCTGATTAACTCACACTTAGTCAGAATGTGGCACAAAGCGCCGTTTCTTTGTAAAAAAATAATAATCTTTTAGGGGTGCTTTTTATACTATGACGCCGGGGTTTTAGAAAACCGCCATTTTTAGAAAAATTAGTTCTCAAGTAGAAGATTAAATCCCAAATAACCAGAATATGGCACAACGCCTAATTTTCTCGTAAAAAAATAATATAAATTTAGGGGTGCGTTTTAACCTAGGACGCCGGGGTTTTAGGAAACTGAAATTTTTAGGGAATGTAGTCGTGAGGTACCTGATTAACTCCCACTTAGTCAGAATGTGGCACAAAACGTCGTTTCCTTGTAAAAAAATATTAATCTTTTAGGGGTGTTTTTTAATCTATGACGCCGGGGTTTTAGAAAACCGCCATTTTAAGAAAAATTAGTTCCCAAGTAGAAGATTAAATCCCAAATAACCAGAATATGGCACAACGCCTAATTTTCTCGTAAAAAAAAATAATACATATTTAGGGGTGCGTTTTACCCTAGGGCGCCGGGGTTTTAGAAAAAGTAGTCCTCAAGTAGTAGATTAAATCCCATATAACCAGTATGTGGTTCAACGCACCATTTTCTCGTAAAACAATAATTTTCTCGTCTATCATATTACCTATAGTCCTCATGAGGTCTTAAAAATCCTCACAGGCAGAATATATGTGATACAAAACGCTGTAGTTACGTAAAATTATATAGATATATTTTTATGTTCAATTTATTATTTTCTTGTTGTCTCCCCTATTAACGAGAAAAAGAAAGAAAAGTATCTAAATGAAAAATTGCAACTACTCAAAGTTTTGATGAATTTAAGCGGTGTGAACTTGTCTTTGTGGAGGGGGGTAAGCGCTGATATTGGGCGCCAGCGCCGGGCGCTAACTTCACACAAGTACGAAATCAAAAAAAAATTGTAGGAATTGTAGGTTATGTTATTCTTCTTCTTCTCTTTTATTTTAATTTGAGAATGTTTTTTGGCCTAAACACTCAACATTAGTGCGTTTGGTAGAGAATTATTAGATCGGCATCTGGGAAAAATTCGTATAGATATGTATATAAACTTGTTTTTACATGTATTTGGTGTTAATTTTTACCTGCAAGCATTTAGAACATTCTCAGAATATGAGGTACATGCTGGGTATATGACTTTTAGTATCTTCTAAGAATGTCCTGTTATAGCAAGTGCTCAGCATATACTTTTTGGAATATACTTTTAAGGCACGTACTCGGTATATACTTTCTAGAATATACTTTTAAAGTATATTCTAGGTATGTTCTAAGAACATTCTAAAAGGATAAAAGGATGCGTCTATTTCTGTTCCCTCCAAGCCTAGCTTACAGAGGTTCAGCTAAACTTCCCATCACCTTTCAAGTTGGTCTTGCAGCATATAAATAGCTGTCGGTTTTATTTGATGACGTGACTAGTCACTAAACTTTTTGGAGGTCAAATACTTGGGAGTCATTTTTGATCGCAGGTTAACACTGAATCAACTCCCAAAAGAGCACAACATTCTTTAACTTATGTCGAAGGTTGAGTGGAAAAAATTGGAGACTACAACCGAAAATGTTTCTATGGCTACATACCAAAGTCATAAGACCTATGATAACTTACGGGTCGGTGGTATGGTGGCCAAAAACTCGCCAAGCTCAACGGTATTCAAAATCAAATATACCTGAGTACCACGGGAGCCATGCGAACGACTCCAACAGCAGCTCTAGAAGTCATGCTAACCCAAGTAACAATAAAAGCTGATTTATTGAGCCTGTTCAGGCAATAAGCTGATTAGTAGTTGGTTAAGGGTGTTACACGCTGATTAAGCTAGTGACCTGAATAATAAGCTGAATAAGCGTCGAATCAGTCAATATAGATGCCATTATACAGCAACATCGATAGAACTGAACTAAATACTGAATAAGTACCTCTTCAGCCAACTTGGTAGATATTGTTCAGCAATATGCTTAAGTAGCTGAACATAGGTTGAATAAGCAGTTCCTCAGCTTACTTAATCTGGTGTTGTTCAGCTATTAATTACTAGCTGAATACAGGATGAAGAAGCACTTTTTCTGCTTATGAAATATTTCATTGTTCAACTATTTTAAAATGGCTGAACATGAGCTGGTAAAGCGCTTTTACAGAAATCTGAACAGCTGTAGTTCAGCTATTCATAGTACAGCTTAGTATGCACTGAATAAACCCTTCTTCAGTAAAGTTAAAAGCCATTATTCAGCTATTATTTTTGGCAGAATAAACAGTCTGAAGAAGTACTTGTTTAGCCCATTTTGATGATACTGTTCAGATATACTTGTAGTAGCTGAACAAAAAATTTGATATTCACTTTGTATGCAGCCGTATCATTCAGCGATTTTTAGGTTATGTTTTTTATTATGTCACTTGACTAAACTTTATACAAATAAATGAATAGGTCAATAAAAAAATATAAAAAAGTGGAACCTACCATAGAAGATTAAAGAAGAGCCGAGAGCATTGCGAAAGCATTCTGAGACAACTATATTCCAGTACAATAAACACAATATCGACGTTACCAATCTGTAGTAGTAATATTACAACAAACTTAGGTAAGTAAAATGTTTATTCAACAAAAATTATTTTCATACGAGACCTTATTATGTACCTTTAATTGTATTCTAAAAGAACAGGTACCTACTTACATGCTTTAAAGATTTTACAGTTGTGAATATATAAAATATTTATTGTATTTTTTATTATAGATTCACCTACAACATCGAAATCGTCACCTAATAATGGTTTTATTGAGATGAGTACAGAGTCTGAATCTGAAACCAAATCTGAATATGAGTTTGATTATGAGCCAAACGAGGTTGTCGACGTTAACGAAAAGGATCTAAGCGAAAATAAGATAATTGAAATTAACAAGTGTAATAAAAAACTTAATGTTACCTTTGAAGATAATATCGAGTTTGATGATGACATCTCTACTTCTACTATATCTGACGAAGAGGCATACAATGACAGTACAATAAATAATAAGTGAACAAGATAGTGATATCACATATTCCACCACTGACTCTAATTATGTAGCATCTAATATTATGAATTCTGTTGATGCATTGCGTAGATGGGCAATTCAATTTAATGTCACACATCAAGCTTTAAAAGGCATTTTAAGTTTAATCAAGCAACATTATGGAGATGCGCAGTTACCCAACGATCCTAGAACATTATTAAAAACCCCCCATAATACAAAAAAGGTAATAAAGCTTATACAAGGTGGGCAGTACTGGCATCAGGGCCTCGAAGTGTGTTTACGAAATTGTTTCAAAAACCTAGCTGAAGATCTAACCATTCAAATTAATATCAATATAGATGGAATACCTATTCATAAAAGTTCAAAATTTCAGTTCTGGCCAATATTGTTTAATATATATGAAATGCCGAATATTCCACCAATGCCTATTGGAATATATATATGTACAACGAAACCTTTAAATATTACGGAATACTTATCGCCTTTTGTTGATGAGTATTTAAATCTTTTGCAAAATGAATGTCTAGTTAATGATCATATTATTGTTTTATCTGTGATTCACCTGCACGTGCATATGTTAAAGGTAAAATACAATAATGTTTTCCTTCCTTGCAGTATACATTTTTATTTATTCTATAGGCGTTGTTAGCTACAATGGAATACATGGATGTTTGAAGTGTACGACAAAAGGCGAATACTCATATTCAAGTCGTACAGTGGTATTTCCTGAGACTAAAGCATTACTCAGAACAGATCAAAAGTTTCGTTTAAAAAAATATGGTGGACACCATAAGGGGACGGAGACGCCATTATTAAGAATTTCTGAGCTGGATATGATCCAAGATTTTATCATATCAGATTCATTACATTTATTGGAACTTGGAGTAGTTAAGCGATGTCTTCTCGGATGGAGGGACGGAACACTTGGATTAGAAGGAAAACTTTGTGCTCGCGATATTAACAAAATTTCTAATGCATTACCAAGAGAAATACATCGACCAATGAGGAGCATGAATTGTTTAGCCTTCTGGAAAGGTGTCGAATATCGTAGTTTTCTAAATTACGTTGGAATTGTTGTTTTAAAAGATGTTGTAAAAGATCATATATATCAACATTTTTTACTTTTATTTGTAGCAACAAAAATTTGTAGTTGTGATATATACAAAAAATATCTTTCTGTAGCACAACTTATGTTCGAAACCTACGTTGAACAGTTTAAAAATATTTATAGTGAAGATTATCTCACCAGCAATGTTCACAACTTAGTGCACGTAGTAGATGATGTTAACAGATTTGGAGTATTACAATCTATATCTGCTTATCCATTTGAACACGCATTATTTCAAATAAAAAGATTGCTACACATGGGCAATTATAACTTAGAACAAGTGGTTAACAGACTCTCAGAGAGAAATGAGATTATTTTATCAAATGTTAGACACTCAAAGAAATTACTGCCATCAAATATTAATAAAAGAGGAAATGTGGTTTATTTTCTAAGCAAGGATGGTTTGTATTTAAGTAATAATATGAAAGATGCATGGTTTTTAACAAAAACAAATGATATTGTGAAAATGGTTACAGCTTTACCAGAAAATGATAAAATAAAAATCCAAGGTCACTCTATTAAAAAAAAAGAAGATTTTTTCAAAATACCTATTTGCTCATCTTATTTACACATATTTTGTGCGGACGCATTTAACTTACAAATGTTAACATTTTACAATCCAGATGATATATTTTGTAAATTAGTAACCATCCATTATAAAGATAATATTTCTGTTTTTATACCTTTACATCATACAATAGCCAACTATTGACAACCACCAAAATACGGGTATGTGTAAAAAAAACAAATATATTTATTATAATATAATAATTAAGAACTGTAAAAAACAACACAACATAAAAGTATTCAATGAATAAACAAATAAACTTTAAAAAAAAACATTGAGTAGATTTTTTATTTTATATACCTACTAAAATACTAAATCAAATAAATAAAAAAAAAAACATCCTGTGTAATTCCTGCCAATAACTGGCTAAAGCAATTTAAAAAATATTTAGGTATCATCATCACTAGTATCATGATCTGAAAAATTTATTGATCCTTCTAGTGGCTCCTCAGTCACAACTTTTGTTTCTTCTTTTCGTTTTTTAACCTGTCTGATATGGGTTGATGATTGTCGTAAACCGGACATTTGTGCACGTTTTTTTGAATTTTTAGTAATTGTTTTAAAAAAATTCTGCAATTCGACTTCAGAAAAATTTTCATATTTCTGTCTTACTATTCTTAAAAATACTCTTAAAATATTTTTGCACGTTTTAATTGCACTTTTTTGCTCATCATGTCTACTCACACCACTCCAACTGCACTCGACCATAAATTTCTTGGTGAAGAAATAATCCAACAACACATAACATGTGTTCATACCACGGGTATCCACAGAGTTTCCAATAATTTTATTCATATATTGAACCTATTGACAAACAAACCCATTAACATTTTGTGACCTGTAAAATGTAAATATCTGATTTTAACTTAAAATGAGTAGGTACTCTTTTTTTATGCAGGTATAATAACACTCTGCATATCAGAAGAACGATTTGCACATATTACAATACCAGAATAAATATTTTAGAAAAATCTGTTCATACTTTTGGCTGCATAAAAAAAGACTTACCACTTGTTCTTTAAATTCCGGAGTTTGGAGGTTTTCTTCTAAATTTTCTAATTCTGCTTTCGAAGAGACAGGCTCCAATGTAAACATATCAGCTGCACTCTGTACTGCTGCTCTGTTTTCAGTTATAGCAGCAAGTTTTATATCAAAGTTAGTTTTTATAGCGGCTATGGTTTTAGCCATTAATTCTCCCACCGAGTTGAGAATTTGACTTGTGGCAGAGTCAATTTTTTGAATGATTTCTTGTTTAAATTCCTCCAAATTAGTGCCCTGTAATATTAAAATTATAAAGTATTGATTGTGATAAAGTAATTAGGTAAAAAATGTACAATAGACTATACTCACAGACACATCAGGTTCTGGCAAATTTATAAAGCTTGCATTCATGATATCATTTGCATTAATAATGTTGCTTGATCCTGCAGTTCATCAGGTTCTGGCGAATTTATGAAGATATCAGTTGCTCTAATAAAGTTACTTGGTCCTGCTTGTGGCCGTTCATCATCAGGTTCAATCAAGTTTAATTGAAGGTTCGGTACTTCTAATACATGACATAAATCTGTTTCTGTAGCAGTGGAACTTGGCATAGCTGTGACTTTTTTTAATGGAGGCTCTTCATCACGTCTATTACATTCTTTTAATATTGAATTAAAATTTGTTCTCCTGTTAGTAAGTTTTTTATTTTTTTTTTCTTAAAGTTATGACTGCGGACGTGTCTGTATCATGCCCTGATAGATTTTTTGCTTCAATCTCACCTTCCTTGTAAGTTTTTAAATGCATGTGTTTAATCTTACACGGTAATTTGATCCACGAATTTTGTGGCTTGCATGTTTCATCCCTTACAAGCGCACTGGCATTAATACTGTTCGGCCACATTAAAATTCCATTTTTAACCCACAACTGGGGTACAGTCGTCATTAATTTCTGACCTGCCTCTATTGTTTCTACTAAGCAGAATCCTGAAATTATTAGAGTTAAAACTAGAAAAATGTAATTGAATAAATAGATTTTATTAATTAAAATACTAAATAATATCCTTTCTTACCCAGATTGTTTGATTGCATTTTTATATGCACACCATATAAACAAATTCAAACTGAAAAATTGTAGAGGTTAATTTTTATTACCGTCCTTCTCTGTCTGTGCGTGGCCCGCGTACATCGATATATCAGGTTAATGCAGCTATTCAGCCACTATTCAACATGGCTTAAATACCATTATTCGCAAACACCAATCATGTGTTCGATTGGCGCAGCGGTTAGAGACCACTCAATTGTAAAATGTTCGTCCAACGGGTCCCAGGTTCAATCCCCAGCCAAAGCAAGGAAGAAAATAAAGGTAAGTAAAAATATATTTGTAAATTTAATTTAAATAGCATGTAGTGACTGTTGTAATTGAGATATATAAATAATATAAAATTCAGAAATTAAAAAAAATTATAATGCATATTAATTTATTTTTGCTTTGAAGATAAACTGAACAAGAGCTGAAAAATTGAGCTGCATAGAAGCTTTCTCAGCAATTTAAATACACTTACGGCTGATGCGGCTGAAAAAAAATTGAAACGTCTTAGCGATGGCTGCATAAAGGCTGAACTACAAGACTGAATAAGATCTGAAGAAGCTATTCTTCAGTCATTACTGAGAGCTCCGATGATGATCAATAGCTGAATAAATTCTCCACTTTTGGGTGAATAAGAGCTTAACAAGGGTTTATTCAACATAAGTTTGATACCAATATTCAGCTTTAGACTGAACAATAAACCGCTTAAGCGCTTATTCAATCAATACAGTTCATCAAATTTCTAGAGGCTTCCGACGGCTAGACAGAGAAAGCACTACTGAGAGGCATCGGTTGGCGGGGCCGACGGATTTACGCAATGAAAGTACACTCTGCGTATCAAGTATTTCACTATTTTATTCAGACGTAAATGTCAGATGTAAATTTCGCTAAAACATTTCTTTTATTTTCGTTTGTGTTTTTTGCTCATTACAGTTTAATAGAACCTAAGTATGAAGTTTAATAGCAAATTAAGAGGCCGCGTGATTAACAGTCAATCTCGCGAAATAATAGCCAATGTTATAGAGTTTATGAGAAGAGAAGAAAACTTTAATTCACCTTCAATACCATTTAAAAATGTAAATGATCGTGTTGCTGCAGCCACAGGAGTATCTAAAAACACTGTCGTCCGCATTTCTGGAGAGAAAAAAGAATCGATAACCGTGAGATATCGGAATTTTCATCACCAAGAAAAACCATTAAAAAACCAAAAACAGTTAATGAAATAGATGAAGCTGACAAAGGTATTTTAAAAAGAATTATTCTGTTCATGTTAATCTCGGAAAATATTGTTCCAACATTAAAAACAATTTAGAGAAGCTACAGGGTACAAAGGAAGCTATGAAAGTTTAAGAAAAATGATAAAGTCGCTAGAATTTCGTTGGCGGAAAACAAAAACAATCAGAAAAATATTAATGGAAAGGTTTGATATTCAAAAGCTACGTTTAGACTATCTGATTCGTTTAAAAAGTTATCGAGCAGAGGGCCGTCCAATTGTCTACTTAGATGAAACATACATTCATGCCTCCCACACACACCAGAAAGCTTGGAGTGATAATTCAAATGAGGGATTAAAGAAACCAATTAATAAAGGTGATAGACTAATGATTGTCCATGCAGGAGGTGAAATGGGCCTTATTCCGAATGCCCGGTTAATTTTCAAATCTGGAACCAAAAGTGGAGACTACCACGATGAAATGAATTTTAGTAATTTTTCTAAATGGTTGAAAGAAAAGCTGTTTCCGAACCTCCCTCCAAGAAGCATCATTATTGTTGATAATGCTCCTTACCATAATGTCCAGGTAAATAAAGCACCAACGTCAACTTCTAAAAAAGCTGACATGCAGGATTGGTTAAGGAATCATAATATTGCTTACGAAGAGGATATGCTCAAAACGCAATTATACAGTTTAGTGCTATTGCATAATTTTGAAAGAGTAAAACCAAATTTGGTAGATTTTCACACTTTTATTTTAAAAATAAAAATTTTTAAAAAAACACTAACATGACATATGTTTCGAAGTACAACTTCTTTTTCAAATGTGACTATTTACAATTCGGTATCCAATATATATACGAAATAATTTAACAAAACAAAGTAATTAAGAAAACATCAATAACATTACAAAATAAACTAACTATTTAAAGTAAATAAGGGTACTTAGGTAATTATAATATCCATCAGATAACAATAAGATAGCCCATTACCGGGATTATCTCACAGAAAACTGGGAAAGAGATTTAATAAGGGTGAATTATTAATATCTAATTGATCATTTAGTAAGTTATCTGAATTTTTAAATCTATTTATTTCAAGTGTTTCTAAATGGTTTAATTTAAGGCTCTTATTTTCTACATGTAAAATTTCAAAGTTGTCTGTAAAAGAATGATTTTCAGCTAAAATATGATTTGAGTAAGTAGAATTATTTTTGTTTTTTGTATAGCTATTATAATGTTCGGAATAGCGTTTTTTGAAAGTACGGCCTGTTTGACCAATATACAATTTTGGACAACTACCACAATTTAATTTATATACCCCCGATTTATTATTAGGATTAATTTTACCCTTATTGTTTTTAATATATTTCCCAAGCGTATTATTGGTTTCAAAAGCTACGTTAATATTTTGGTTTTTTAAATATGATGATACCTTTTCACTAGGAGCTCCTATATATGTAAGACTCTTATATCTGCAATTTGGATCTTTAATTATGGGATAAACTTGTTGAATAGCCTGTTTAAAAAGTTTTTTCTCTAAAATGTTGTCTACTAACTTTGAATTAAAATTATTATTTACTGCGATTTGTTTAATGATATTTAATTCTTTTGTGAAGTTCTCTTTGGTAAGGGGAATATTAACTAATCTATGGATCATACTGTTGTATGCTGCCAGCTTTTGTTTGTATGGATGAGATGAACTATTATTTATTGTAATATCCGTATGTGATGGCTTATGAAATATCCCAAAACTATGGCCTTTATTATTTTTAATAATATTTAAGTCTAAAAAATTAATTGAATTATCCTTCTCTGTTTCCATAGTAAATTTAATATTAGGGTGTATAGTATTGATAAAAACT